AAATATATAATTCATTTCACTTCAAATGTATTGAAAGAAACCATTTTTTCACTACTTCAAACAAATGGATTATATGATTTGTAATTTTACTTTTTTTAAATCCTGAAATAGGCTTTCCAAAAATTAAATTGGCACTTCAATACTATCATAAAACACCATTTTATTTTGGTTATCTAAATAAAAAATAAAAAATAAAATTATAGTTTGAATCTTCTGTAATAATATTTCACCAAAATTTTAAATTACACAGAAATTTTCTAAAACCAAATTAATACAAGTTCTTATGTGATAGATTTATTAGATTATAACTTTAATGATTCATATGTAATCAAATTTAAATTCGAAATCAACTATTTCAAATTTAATAAAAAAAACAATACATAATTAAAATAGAATACTGAATGAGTTTCATAATAATATAAGATTTGGTATTAGTTCTTGATATTCAATAATTAACTAAATTATCTAAATTATGAAAAAAATGTAGAATTAGATAACATTAATTTATTATTTAAATTGAGATTCATAACATCTGTTCAAGTTTTCTTTGTAAAAGAAAACACAGTGACTAAAAGTTATTAACTATGTAGAAAAACAAACTATGATACGAGTTTAATATTATAAAAATGACACTACATTTAATCATTTTAAACTTTACTATAATACACTAAAAATAAATAAATCATTTTGAATAGAATGTCGTATATACATGCTTCTAGATTTATATCAATATGTGCTTCTTTATCTGTTTAATATTAGTTTGAATTAACTTTTCAAAGTTTTTCACTCATGAGGATATTAAAAAAATCTTGACTATTTAATAGAAAAAAACTAATTTTAAAATATGTGTGTTCTATGTCTTCTTGAATTTTCACTTCTATTATTAACATCCACAATTACTTATAATTAAACTACAAAAAATTTGAAATTGATATATTTTTATTTTTTAAAATCACAAATTTATAAATACATAAGCACATATATAAAATCCAACAATCAATAGTCAGATATAGAAATTCTATTAATAATATTTTGTAAAGAAGAAATATTTTCAAAATATGGCTGGTTTCTTTAAGTAAACTATTTTTAAATAAATATATTCTTAAAATCCATGAACAATATATTTATTTTCTTTGTGTTGAAAATTATATTGAATTATATATATATATATATATATATATATATATACATATAGAATCAAAATTTGATATAATAAATATTTAGAATTTTAAATAATTTCTAAAATTATAATTATTTTAAATTTTAGTTTATAAAAATCTTTGCATGATTTTTAGTATAATAACTCTCAGATTATGTATTATAATGTTTAAACATATAAGATATTAAGTGTAATTTTTATAAATAATATTTTATTATCAAAATACCAATTGTTAATAGAATTATTTATACATATGGATGTCATGAATAAATCTCATAAAACCCAACTTATGTATTTATTGTATGTTTTAAATTTAAACCAGATATTTATTTAAGAATGTAATTTCAAAATAATTTAATAAACATATTTAGAAGTTTTATAATAGAAGGTTATATTGAATTTTATTAATTTTATTATATTATTAATTTATTAATAAAAGATAAGAATGTTGATATAGCTTTATAGTAATTTCAATCCTTAATTATATTTTTACAAGTAATATTTTTATATAAACTATAAATAATACTCATTTTTAATTTTTAACATTTTTATGAACATAAAAATTACTGAAATAAGTAATATATATATATATATATATATATATATATTAACATCAAATTAAAAATTTCAAATATGTTGAATAAAAGCTTTAAAAATCAATAATTATTCTATTTATTTACAGGTCTTATTATTATTATTGTTATTATTTTATTCTACTAAAAAATTACATTATAAATAAAGATAAAAATAAAAAACATTATATATATATATATATATATATATATTTGTATATTTATCTATCAAAAATATAACCAATGATAGAAGATAAATGTCATTCTTTATTAACATATACTTGAACTTTTCACAAATATTGTAGTAACTAACAAATAAGAATAAATCTTTTTTTGAGGACACTTATATTTCAATAAAATTGAAATAAATACAAGATTCTCTAATAACACCCAGACAATTGAATATACAAGAATCTTGTAAAATTGATAGACATATTAAAGATGGACTAGAGAACTTTGTGTCTTCTTGAAAGACATACTTTTACTTCTCTCATTGTCAAGAAGAATTGATACATATATGTTTTAACATACTTTTAGTATTTTAAGACAAACAATCTTCCAATACAACTTCTTATTCCATTGCCTTCATTCAATAGCATATTTTGTCTTCTTCATGTACCATCTAAACTCAAGATAAAATAAGAAAGTTCCTCTTTTGGTATTGTTTAATATATTTTGTTAATCCATAATTCTATTAGAGTTGTATTCTACTTCTCTAACATCCATCAAATCTGCCATCTTCCTTTCCACAATATCCATTGTTTTTTATGTTTCTCTCTCTATTTCTATATAACAATTCAATATATATATATATATATATATATATATATATATATCTAGATATAGATAAAGAAAGAATGTATGAAAACATAGAGATATGGATTTCATGAAGCACAAGTGGAGGCAAGAGGCAAACATGGGTGGGGCTATGCTTGCTTGTGTGCTCTATATCATTGTCCTTGTGCCTTGCCACATGAATCATTCACTTACATTGATTCATTGATTCTTTTCCTCACTCCCTCGCTTCCTTGCTTGCTCAATTGGTGCCTCCATGAAGAAGGAAGCAACATGAAACTTGGCAACAAAAAATTAAAAAGTAAATAAATAAATAAATAAATTGGAAAGCATTCCAACATACTCACAAACTCTTGCTTTGTTGCTCTTTGTTTCTTCATTCATTCATCCATTCATTTATTCATGTGATTTGAAGTTTTGAATTGGGCGATTTGTGTTGAGAATGGTCAAAGGAACCTCCCCAGGCCAAGCCTACACTGACGAATGTATTGCATGCAAGTGTGAATATTCATGACGAAGAAAAAAGAATAGGTGGGTTTTGCATCCAACCACATGAGATGAAAATAAAATAAAATAAAATAAAAAACAAAACCAATCATAATAACTGAATTTGTATGATTATTGCTGCTGAGTATAATATGTATATATATATATATATATATATATATATTTCTGATCTGGGAGTAAAAACATTTTGAGTCTTTGAAACCAAACATGTTTTATATCATGCATGGTTTGGAGCATGAAAATGTCGTGAAATCAAGTTCATGAAGTTTTATTTTATTTTATTTTATTTTATTTTTTTGAAAGAATATGTCAAATGGATTTTTTAAAGAACTAAATGAAATCAAACAAAGTGAGACAAATCTGCTTGTTAGAATGGCTCTTTTTATTTGGACCATGGGTTTGAAAATGTTGTGAATGGGAGGGGGTTTTGAAAAGATGTTGGTCGGGAATCTAGTTGTCTTTACATTTTTGATTATTGAGGCATTGGAGGGACCACAACAAATAGCAGCAGAAAGCTTTTATATAAGAGAGAGAGAGAGACAAAGAGATGTTGGCCACAAAGCTTATGCCCTAACAAAGTAGACTTGCTCTTCTCCAGTACAGACCAAATAATTGTTGTGGAGGGGTTGGAAGGAGAAAAAAATCCATGTAGAATAAATATATAAATAATATTTTTTAAAAAATAATTGTAAATCCCAAATGAGTTTCAACAGCTGTACTTGTAATTAAATACAATTTTTACTGTACAAAGAAGAAAAATAGCACATTGATGCTGTAATCAATTAAAAAAATTAGGTAAATATATATATTTTTTAGTTATATATATTTTTCTTTATTAATTTGTGAATAGTTCAAAATTTAATATTTATTTAATTCCAAATTTGAGAGATGGAATATCTACTGTGTAATTAGATTTGATTTGAAACTCCAAAAGTAATAATAAATAGAAGAAAGAAAAGAAGATGCATTCAAAGCTTGTCATAGTTTCTTTGCATCTTTCAATTTTAACAAAATAGGTTTTCTTGAGTTATATAGAATATGCACTAAACAGAAGGAATAATTTAAATTTTATATATTAAAACATTGGAGCTTAAATTTTCTATATATATATATATATATATATATATAGCTATAAATATTTATATGAATATTTATTAATATTTAATTTTTACTAAGTATATTAATAATTAACATATTACTATATATAATATTCCTCTTAATAATTCATCTTTAAAAACTAACACCTTCTAATAATCAATCAAAATTTGGCAACCAATTCCATTCTATTCTATATAATTAATAATCTCTAATTTATAATAACTAATTTTATTATATTTTATTAATTAAAAAAGGCCATGTAGCTCACAAGGACATGTAGGCACCAGAGAATAAGCAACCTAGATTGTAGGGTTCTTACAAAAGTGATTTCTATCTTGCCTTTAATGTGCTACCTTTGATGATTAATAATCTTTATTAATTAATACTTTTATTAGCAACATATAACATGAATTAACAAAGAGAACCTTGTATATCTATATTAATTCCATATTAAATAAATAAAAATCAAAAAGCATTAAAATGATTTTTAAAAATATGTATAGTTACTATAGTATTGTTTTCTACTTTGGCCATTTGCATTATATAAAATTATACAACATATACCTGACATACAACATACAACATATTGTTGTAATTAATTATCATAATTTGAATTCAAAATTTGACATAATTTTACAATAAGATGTAAAATGTGTAAAAAGAATACAGAGAAATATGTTTAAATATAAAATTATTCAACATATATCTGTAGAATTCCAAGTAAAATAGGCATAGCACACGTGATTTGAATGTGCATTTCAACATATTAAATTATTTATTAAGAAAGCAGCATGATTTTTTTGTTTTTCCCTTTTTCATTTTTACTTTTTTGAGGTATCAAGTCACGAAAATCATCACGTACCCCGTAATCAAAGTAGAATAGATAGCTCATTAAACATAAAAGGAAAAAAAATTGTTTAACCTAGAGGGACTCTGATGTGCACCACAGTAATGGCCTTGGTCGAGCGAAAAGTCGATGATTGTGACAATCAGCCAAACGAACATGTTGCGGTGGATTATTGGAAAACAGCCTTCTGAATCGACAATTTTGAAATGAAATGAGTAAAATGAAATCCAAACCAAAAGCCAAATGACACTTGCAACTTGCTATAACATGTAGACAGATCTCTTCACACAAGCCCGTCCAGATATTTGTAATTGAGACCGGCATGTCGTTTGTGATCGTCACCGCACAGGCAGTTGATCTCAACGGGGTCCCCCTTCTGTCTCCAAGCGAGCTTTAACAAGGGGTCCTGCAAAGCCAAGTAGTCAAAATCTTTCAGGTTGGTATAAAAACACAAGAAAAGAAAAGGTAGCTTATCCATTTTCTTGATTCATTTCCAACTTTCAAAGAGAAATGTAACACTTCCAGTTGTACAAGAATTGGAAGGAGTTCCGAATAACCAGATAATTTTTCATTTCAATGGGCTTCGAATAAACTCCATAGGTCATATGCCAAGGATGATTATTAGCTGATTTTCTAACCCCAATTTGAAATAGCAGAAATTTAATGACAATCAAAAAAGACTCCTCAAACAAGCTAGGAAGCGTTCTAAAACCTGGACTCCAATCTCAACTATGAGTTTATCAGAATGAAAAATGTCTTCTCAGGGTAGAAATGTGCATTAGGAGTCTTCCAGGCATGTACTGGACAATCAACCAGAGTAACCCTGGACAGAAAGCAGAAAAACACGTTAATAGTTGGAGTCGTGCGACGATGTCAATTCAGTGCATGAGTATCAGAAACAAAAGAATGAACAAATCACTTCACAAAGACGTGCTACAATCCTCATGCACTGGGGTCGCCGTTGATGGTTGGACATTATGCGTGTGAAGAAAGAATTCATCGTCTACGTGATTTCGAATCGAGGCTAGAAGGTGCTTGCATCAATGGTGGACAGAGCGAATCACGTTCTGCTTTACGTCCATTTCTGAATCGCTTACGCCTACAGGACGACATTCATCGTTCAACCAACTTCAATTTGAACTTTGCTTCAAATCCATCAATAGAGAAAGATAAGGATACTCCACAAGAGGATGCACTCAAATTTGAGTTCATCGTAGAATAAACTTGGACCAGCGGAACAGACTCTTAAGGGCTATGTTAAATTCACACCTCGGGCAACCTCGACCCTTGTTTCCGCAAATATCTAAAATATAAAACCAATTAGCATGTGAAACAAGAAATAAGCACAGCAGTTTTAATGGTTTAGGATAAAAGGAATTGGATGTTGACAGGACAGCTTATTTTACAAAGTTCTAATTATATCAAATTAACTTTTACTTTGAAGATTAACAAAAATTGGACCGCAAATTTAAACCTTGAATATTACTGAGTTTGTGGATTACGCTGTCCAGTTCTCCAAGTTCCCAACACATTTTCAGTATGATAAAGGAACAAAGTTATGAAACACAAGACGCATACCAGATCAGCCAATGTGGGCGTTGTAGCTGCAAGTTGTTTAAATTTTTTCTTACATCTTGAAATTCCTAGAGCCAATATGGGAAGATATTGTTAACAAAGAACAATGACTCATAACATTATAAAACCTCACACTGGCTTTCCCAAAATAATAAAAAGTCAAAGGAATTTCGCAGAAATTTTTTAGTGAAGGTCAAACCAGTCGTTTTGAATAAAAAGAGTAGATAGTGTGTTATTAAATAACTGAACCTAATAACTCTACTTGACCTTTAGATATTTATACATGAATAAATTAGGTGAATTGGCAGTATTGCTTTAGAAAAATCTCAGAAATCGACATTATAAAAGAACTTGATATGTAACCACCGAATCAAACTTACATTCTTGATTTGATCAAGTTGTGGGAGTTTTCAGATTTCCAAATTCCTGAAAAAATAGCAATTGATGGTAATTAGAATGTTAACTTTCACAATGTTCTAAATCCGTGCAGTTACGTATTTGCAAAACTGCATGTGTGACTTCGATATCGCTGAAAGAGTGCAAACAGTACGTCGTCCACAATATAACTTCATTTCGTGAGAAGTCTACCATTCCCACCAAAACTGGGAATGATAGCAAATTGGCACTTCCTGACCATACAGCCATCTTATCATCGATTTGTCGACAATGAAATAATCGAGGGGTTTGTCTGGAATCACAAAACCGCAACAAAGTTGTTCCTCACACTGTCTTCCTGAAAAACTTAACTAGTTGAAATACACGATGCAGGCATTAGTGATAAACAATCCACCTATTTGCAGCAGTTGACTCCAACGTCCAACTTCCTTTGCCAATACCCAGATCCTGGACGATCAAATATGATCAAACAGCCAGAACAAAGTTAAAAATTCACGAGCTTCAGATTTGATTCGGAAATTGATTACAGTCAGTGGAAGTTATATGTTGACGTAATTTTAGATTTGAGGAACTCATCAGCTGATTGTAAAACTGGAATCAGTATCTCTCTCCTGTCGATTCAGCGAATGGCGAGTTTCATCTTAATCTAAACTTCTAGCACTAATCTGTGCGATGCCGTCTCAGGCATATTAAAGTCATTCCTGTAATAAACTTCATCTATCACACTATCAAAAGTTTAGAGCTGATCATTGAATCATCAATAAGCTTAACAAATGAAGGCAGCCACAAGTGTTACCTGCTTCAAGTCTTCTACACAGCTGGAAGCTCGAATCTGAGCTTGTTCAACTCAAGTGATAACTTATCCTGCAAGTGAGAAGTAACTGTACCAAGTCAAGGTGATTGATGATGAGAATCAAAAATAACTTTTCGCGCACAACATGAAAAACAAAAACGCCCCGTGCACAAACAACAGTATAATGGTAAAATCGCTTAGCCTAAAACAAATGATCTGACGCGGTTTAACTGAAGTATTTTCATTTTCATGATGCCTCTTTATAACGAGTTGCAGTATTGGAACACAATTTAGGACTATAAGCGCACACTAAAGAACAGCATGAAAACTATTTACGAGGAATTGTGAAAGCGTTTAGCTCTTGCAGGGAACATATTCACGTCTGCCAATACAAAGAAGTAATTATCCACTACGTAATCCAGTAGAGCAGCAACCGTTGAAGCAGAAGACGAAGATTCGAACGAGTTAGCATGTCATAATCGAGGATTGCTTGCCTCACTGATCATCGATCAGTTCATCTATCTAATCCTACTCTTCAAGAATCCATTACAATACATTTAGAAACATATGAATGTAAACTCATGCACTATTGGTCAGAGACTGAAGTGAACGCACTACATCTAAGCATCAAATCTCACTTAAAAATTTAGCTCGCTAGTAGAGCAACTGAAAGTATACGAGCATAAATCGATAAAGTCAATTGAGGAGGCTAGAGTGATTTATACACGTAAGAAAATAAATAAATACATCATCATTCACCATTAATCGCGAAAATCGCCTGGATTAATTTCCCTGTAAACACAAAATTGCAAACAGAAACCCTTCCATATGCTTGAATTCTATTAATATTGCAAATCTTATTTTCTTACATTCATCAACGCAAGAAAAGCCAAAGGTTCACCTCCGCAACTCCACAAAATTCAAGCAGCAAGTCATCGAACTCACCTCAAACGCGAAAGGCAAATGACTGTAAATGACTATAAATCACCTCAGTTCAGCATCCAATGTATTCAAACTCCACGACATCCTTCGGCGTCAGAAACAATCTTTAGCTTAACCACGTCTTACGATCGTTCAGAGTTTTCCTAGCCCCGCAACTGCCGCACAAAGATTCGACATCTAAGCTCTCGATTTTAGTTTCGTAGCAACGAAAACATAACAACCGCCATAGCCAAGGGACCAAAAAAGAAGACAGCCCCACGCTGTCCGGGCCCGGGACTGGTCAATCGTGATCGAGCGACCAGGTACACATAGCTCTCCCATTCAACTCCTATTTTCTGAAATTGCTTATTTAATGGAAATTTTTAATATAAAATTATATTGTTCTGGAGTTTCTTATATGTGTATATGATAAAAATAGGGTTATGTTAAATAGACCCATGCTTTTACTAAATCGATCCATCCTTAATAAAGAATAAGGTAATTATGATGAATATGGTTGGTTTTTATTGGTTGTAAATCCAATAGTAGAGAAATAAATCTAGAGTTTGTTTATTTATTTATTTATTTATATTTTTTATCATCATGATGATTAAGGTGGTTGGGTTGATTTTGTAAAAACTTGGATCTATTTAACATTCCTCCAAAAATAATTCAATAAACTTTATGAACAATATTACATAACTTTTTTAAAGAAGTCATGTGTATTATACTTTGTTTTTAAAATTTAAATATATGTTACTATGAGAAAACTAATTGAAATCAAAAGTATGCTTATGAGAATTTTTCTATGTTTTCAACCTATCAAATGAACAATTTAGTTATCCATGATACTCATCATCTCTAATTATATTGACCACAAATGCAAATCGATCACATTTATTGATTAAAATCTTATTCATATGATGCAGTTGTGAAGAATGTGGCCTTGTTCATTGCAATTTTAGTAAATACTTGCATTTTAGATTTATATTAGAAGTAGTTTTTTTATTTTTTTATTTTTGATCATACAATGAAATACACTTGTATAATCACAATTATCTAAGCAACTCTCAAGCATTTGGAAGTCACTAAAAATAGAATAAAATAGTATTACTTATCTTTTATAAGCAATACTATTATCTTTTAATTATTATCTTCTAATTAACCATAAATATTATCAACTTTAATTTTTTTAATATATTTTGAATTTAAATTAATATAATAAATATTCTTTTATAGTTATTTTTTTAAAATAATTTAGATAAATATGGCTTATAGAGAGAATATGGTACTTATTTTAGTTCTTATAAGTACTTTTAGATATTTATTAGATTAGAAATATAATATATTACCCATTACTATTTAAATTTAAATTTTATTTTATTTTATTGAATTTTTTATGAATATATTTTAAATTTTAATGATATAATATTTAATTAGTTAATAAATTAAAATTTATAGAAATTCTATGTTAATCTTTTATACATGAAATAAATAATATATATTTTTATAATTTATAATATCTATTTTAAAATCTTATATAAATTAAGATGATATATATATATATATATATATATATATATATATATAGAAAGATCCAAATATGAATTATTTTAGAAACAAAAAAAATTCTTGTATAATTTAAATTAGATTAGATGTTTAAAATTCTTAAGGTTTTTTTTTTTTTTTTTTTTTTTTTTTTTTTAAGTCTTGTCATAATATATTTTGACTTTAATGTTGTGTCAAAGACATGGATGTTGAAGGATCAAAAAATTAATACACTCTTATGTCACTCAAAAAGACTAGATAATCACTCAAATATGATATAATATTAGATTAGAATGACTATTGCCAAAGACACAAAGATTAGAAAGTCTTGAAATAAGACCAAGAACTAAAAATGGATTGACACAAATAAAGAAGGCTTCACTCTTATTTCTATATGTATTATCTAATTAGAAGCTATATTGCCATGTTGTTGTATAATAACACGGCCATTAGATTAAAGAAGAAAGAAAATATTTTATTAAAGAGCTTAAATGAAATTAGTTTAGAAAATTATCTTAAAAATATAGATAATAGATAAGAAGGTAGTAAAAATAAAGCTGCTTTCTTTTAGAAGAAACTTCTATTTACTTTGTAGGGGCATAAATGAACCATATCAAAGTGAATGAGGTAAATAATTAATATAGGCATCTTTAGAAAGGAATTAAGAATAGGTTTTTAGCAAAAATTACCTCAATAAATTAAGACTTGATACCTAAAGAAGACTGGTTGTGAATCAAGGTCAAAATTAGACCTTGAGGCACAAATCCGCCCACCTATGGTGACTTTGAGGATTCATTGGTTGATCAAAGAGTGGATTTTGAGAATGAATCTATGATGAGATTTTTGAGAGTTGATTTCATGGAATTTGAAGAAATGTCAAGGTTTCAACGACCTTTCAAAGTGAAAGATGTATTCAATGGGTTTGGATTTTAAAAAATAAAAATAAGTTTGTAAATTTGATGATTTTGTGAGTGTCATAATATCTTTATAAGTGAATTTTTTTTGATTTTTTTTATTGTACTTGTATTAAATTTATGTGAGCAATTTGATGTCAATTAAGTAATTAGATTGAAGGTTATGAGAGTTTTTCTAGATTGTGAACTTGAATAATTGAAATTTAGGGTCAATGAAGAGAGAGCAGCTAATATCTAAGAGGTTTTGGAAGCTTTTCTTTCAATTGATGAATTTGATTTTTCTCAAATTTTTTGTGCTTGTGAATTGCTTATGAATTAAAGTCAAGATAGAATTTTAATGAAGATCAATAATTTAATTAATATTTATTTAGGTTTCAAAATAATTATAATAATTAATTGATATTTTATTATGAATTGGTCTAGAATTAGGATTTGAGATTTGATTGGAATTTGGTCTAGGATTTAGTTAGGATTTGATTAAGATTTGATTAGGATTTGGTCTAGGATTTAGTTAAGATTTGATTAAGATTTGATTAAATTTTTATTAAGATTTGGATTTGAATTTGATTAAAATTAATTTAAGATTTTATTAAAATCTGATTAAGATTTGATTAAAGTTTAATTAGGAATTAGAATTTGATTAGGATTTGATTATGATTGTTTTAGAATTTGACTAAGATTTGATTAGGATTCATTTAGAATTTCATTAAGATTTGATGGAATTTATTTAAGATTTTTTGAAGGTTTCATTAGGATTTATTTAGAATTTATTGAAGATTATATTAAGGTTTGATTAGGATTCAATTAGTATTTTTATTTTTAGTTTTTGATATTTCTTTAAGATTTTTTATTATGTATATTTCTTTAAGGTTAATTTATGATTTCTTTATGTTTCTTTTATAAGTTCTTTGAGACTTTTTTTGAGATTCGATTAAAGATTGACTAACATTGTTATAATTTAATTGGAATTTTTTTAGAGTTCTATTAGAATTTTTAAGATTTTCTTATTGCAAGTTCTATTTTAGTTTCTACAACTAGATAACTAATGCATTCTCAATAAAATTCACAAAATATGATAATATTCTATAGGACTTCTAATATGTATCTAACTTATAAGATATGTTTCTTAATATACAAGGTAAGTTTTCTATATGTACACTACATAGTTAACTTATACCACAAGCTAGTAATACGTGCAGTATATAGCTAACTTGTTGGCCAAGTTTTTAATCTACTAATCAACTACAAAGATGTATAAAATCAAAGTCACATCTATAAAGCTTCTTAAAAGCTATTCTATAAAATATTATCAAATTTGTTTTCTTTAATCTATTTCTACCTATTCATATTATCAAGATATTTATTAGAGTAAATATGTATCCCTCTTTTTTAGAAATAAATTCCATGAAGAGTAGTGATTACATGTTGATAAAGTTGAAGATGAAGCAAATTATATTTGCAACATACTTTGATCTTTATTTTCTTTGAAGATAATTAATAGGTCTTTTTAGCCATCAATAATACATTATCTATTTGAGGAAGAATATGTTGTTTTTGAGGATCTTCATCTCTATTATATCATATTAAAGGCTATAACAATCATAATATTTTATCTGATAAGTTAGCAAATGATAGATCCAAAATCAAATTTGTTGGTCATTGATTCTTCATCTTCTTAGTGCCACAAATATACACCAACGGGCCGCATCCACAGGGTGGTC